TAAGGGGAACCGAGGAAAGGATAAAAGTTGAACGGGGTTCAAATCAACAGAAGATGACGATTGACGTTGCATTTAAATTTTTGAAGGTTGTAGTTATCAGGGAAGCAAGGAAACAGAAGAGAGTTCCACAGGCTGGAAGTGCGAGAAAAGAGTAGAAGTGGCGGTTATATTTAACTAATTCAACAGTAAAAGGGTGGGACCTAGATGCCAGTCTAGTAGCACACTTAAACTCACGTAGTGCGGGTACCAGGGGGAAAAATAGTCAGATAGAGGGAAGCCACGTCACGTTGATTAGAAAGTGACTGAAATCAGGATCTATTACATTGTATATCCTTCTTTGGATTTTGTAAGAACCTCGAAATGTGTAGCAGAAGCACTAGACCAGATCTGACAACAGTATTCAATGCACGATCGAATGGTAGATTTGTAAATGTGTTTCGAGTTAAAGGCAAACTGCAAATCAGTGTGACTTCTCATCTTCAGTAACTTTGTTAATATCTCTTATCATTCCTGTCCACACTTCTTTGCCCTGTGTTAACTCACGAAATTGTTGCAGATCTTGTACTTTTTTTTACCGGAAATGATGAAATTTCTGACGGGGAAAACCTTTTATCACGGCACAGTGACCCAACATTCCTTACAGTAGATGCAGCTGTTGATTCGATGTAGTCGTTCAAGTCAGTTGAAAATATCTTGAGCGACAAAACAGATATTCTGTCTAAGACCTCCAATATCTATGGATGCTATTCACCAATTTGGTAACGATGACAAAACTAATGCCATAATATTTAGTGTTTGTTTCCAAAGCTATTAACTTGTGCTGTCTAACTCCGATATTAATATCGAATCCTGTCTTTGATTTTGGTTTCTTGGAGATAACATATATCAATGTTATAACTATCAAAGTCTCGAGCCAATAATTCCTACTTTTCTTTTTTCACAATTCATCTAATATTAAATGTCCCGATGTTAAAATCTATAAATGCGATTGGAGGCATTTATAAAGTTTTAAATAAGTTGTCAACTTTTAAATAATTACCTTCTCCGCCAAAACGAAATAAACTCAATAATTACCTTGACACGAAAATCTTTACGTGATTTCATTTTGTTCGCGTCATCAGTCACGTTCTGCTCTTTTCTTTCATACGATACAAAGCTGTTTTAATTTATTATTTCAAACAAGCCCTTTAATGTTTCAACCCTGGCTTCTGTCCTGTCAAAATTCCGATAGTGTTAGTAATTTCAATCTCGTATGTCAGCATGTTTTAGAAACAAATAATTAAAAAAAAAACTCTCGATGTTAAAATTTATATATGCGATTGAAGGCATTTCAAAAATTTTAAATTAGAATTTGCCAACATTTAACGGTTGAAAACTAAAGAAATCAATACTTCTCCGCCAATTTAATAACAGTTAGCAAGCTCAGGAAAAAAGCAGTGATTGTTCATGGTCATCAGAGCTGTTTCGAGTTAGATGCAAACAGCAAATCAGTGTGATTTCTCATCTTCAGTAACTTTGTTAATATCTCTTATCATTCCTTTTCACACTTCCTTACCCTCACGAAATTGTTGCAGGTCTTATTTTTTTACGGAAATGATGAAATTTTATTAATAGTTCTTTCAATGTTTTTGTTCAATGTTTATAACAGAGGAGGCTAAACCAAGCCATATGCGGCTTTTTGACCTTTAATATGCGGCTCTTTGACCTTTAATATGCAGCTCGTGGAAATATGTTGGCTGAACTCCATTTTTCATCACAGTTAATATAAAACGTAAATAAGAAAAGTTTTAAACTTGCGGCTCTCAAACATCTGAACTTTAACGCATGTGGCTCTTACATTAAGCAAGTTTGACCACCCCCTGGTTTATATTATGGCTCTTTGTTCAATATTTATGAATGTTATTCTTCCATTTGGCATTGATGAAAAAACATTTCCATAATATTTTCTGTCTGTTTCCAAAGCTGTGAATGTTGTTTTTCAATCCTTGTATGCTTTTTAAAATCGGCGTTTGCCACTTATACATTATGATGACGTACAATTGAAATCGAAAAACGAAAGGCAACTCTTTCTGTCGAGCGGTTTTAAAACGCTGTTAATGGAGAGCCAAAAACGTTGCTTACCGCTAAACGAAACTGGAAACTGTGGGTAACTATGATCCTCTGAAGGGATATGGCAGATAAAAGAATATCTATGATTTTGTCAGACAGCCTGGTTTTGAGTTTCAAATAGACAAACCGGGACAATTGTCCTTTTCTGGAGAAAAATCCAACCTGGACATCCTTACTCCAACCACCCCTTTTATTAAATCAAAGGTTTTTTTTCAGTGGTTCTAACGATCAATCGTGTCAAGATGGCTAAACGTCTTATCTGAAAACCTAGAAAAATAAACTCAATTAGTTTAGAGTATTTTTTTTTTTTTTAGATATTAAACATTTTGTGGGATGGACAATTATGCTGTTACCCCCGGTATATAAAGACAGATAAATTTATATCAACACTAACAAACAATTGAGGCTGACTATTTAGATCAGACATGGGCAACTCTTTTCGAAGATGAGATCCACATGAGGTATGGTGCATCAGAAGACGGGACGCACTACTAAAAAAAATAAGGTATTTTTTATTAAAGATATCACAGCAATTTACTCAACAAAAGCATCTGCCTTAGAAAAAGTTGATCTTTTTTCTTTGAAGAAAAGATTCCTCTGTATAATTAAAAAAGTTGAACTCCTATTTTAATATTATAACTGATGACAGAGTGGTTAACACACATTGCTGCATGTGATTTGCTCCTAAGTTATTCATTTGATTAGACAAAAATATTTGTAAAAGAAGACTTATCATTGACGTTTTCTGTTTCTGAAGTAAAATATGTTTACACTTATGATCTTCCTTAGTGAAAATCTCCAATGGTTTAAAATGCTAACAAAGTTACCTTCAAGGAAAGGTTACAAAATTCAAGAAACGACGTAATTAATCATTGTTTATGTATGTCGTTAAGTATGAGAGAGTATGTGAGTGAACAAGTGAGAACCAGAAGAAACAAACAACATTTGAATAAACGTTATTTTGCTGATGAAATTAAGCGTGTCATTCAGAAAGCCAATCGGGCTACATGTGACGACACACGGGCCGCAAGTTTGTGCATGACTGATTTAGTGTAATAAGCTAAACACAATCAGTTTATAGAAGCAATAAACTTCAACGACACTTCTAAGATCTTCCTAACATTTCTTTTTTTGAAAAAGATGGTACTGGGAACTTTTACATCATATTCATGGTTAACCGGAATCGCAGTAGTAAACAAATAGTTTATTTTTCCCACGGAAAGCTGCGTGAGCCAATCATGTTTATTAATCTACATAATCAACAATAATTGCTCACTAATATTAATATTGATATAAACTTAGGTGTGTTTATACATACATACATATATATATATATATATATATATATATATATATATATATATATATATATATATATATATGTTTCTTTAAATCTCCGATGTATTGTCTGGCATATTTAGTTTCGGTTCGTTGGTCATTTTCAGTTTTTATATGCACCCAGATCTTTCGCATAATCTGCTGCATGACCACACGACTTCGAAGTCGAACAAAGAATTAATTCAAACTGTTAGAAAAGACGGAATGCAAGCCGGGATTCCAGCATATAAATGAAAACGTGTGTGGGTTGGGGTGATTCTTTTATTCTCTCTGTGTGTGCCACAAAATGTCATTTAGGAGAATGCAAGAATTTCACCGAAAATTCCATCGTTGAAAGCAGCGGAACGAAAAAGAAAAGTGAATTGTTTTATAGTTTCTAATTAACCAAAAGAATCTAAAAATGAAAACTATGGCAATGTTTTTACACCATTAACAGATACTTGAAACAACATAATATCCATTTTGTCCTGATCGCGTATTTGTGTAGGAAGGAAAGGCGATATGGTTAACAAGCTCGTTTTGCTGTCAAGGTTGCCAGGTTGAGCTACTAAGTAACAATTTGGGCTATATTTGAAAAAAAACAATATTACTAAATTTCGAATTGATTTCACATCACTGAACAATCATGCCGCTTAAGGAGATAGGAAGTTATGTCTCTCCACGGCTTCCTTTTTCTTTTAATATCTATTAACTGATCATGAGTTTTCTTGGGAAAGGTGGAGTAGTTTACCGTATTTTTCTTCATTATTCCACCCTAGAGAGTGAGTCCGTGAGACATCTCTGGTTAAAGTTTTCTGTTGACATGAAGTAGAAAGATTATATTCAATCAAGTTTGCTGTTTGGAAAGTTGGGCCAGTGTTTTGCTAGATAGACAAATTTTCTCACCACCAGAATCTATATTACACAAGTTTATCATTCGTTCGTGCATTGGATATTGCTGTTACATCTGGTTTGGTGCTTCTTCTAATAAAATAAAATCCGAACAAGAAGTCACTTTCCCACCTCCGTAAGGTAGGTTCCCTGCTCCATTTTCATAGTAATTGTTCTGATGAGTTTTTTTCTTTGATACATAGACTTTATAAATTCAAATTCGCAGTATTAGATTGGCGGCAATGAAATGACTTGATGAAATCGTAAGTTCTATGATAATAGTTTCTTCTCTCGCACTTCTTGCTTGTGGAACTCTCTTCCGGTTTTTTTGTTTTCCGGTCAACTTTGATCTTCAAAAATTTAAATGCAATGTCAATCGTTATCTTATATCTTCTTTATTCCTATTCTTTTATTGTCCCTTCGCCATGATATTTTTTTTCTCATATTCAGTAACCATTTGCGTCTGAATGTATTTATTGCCTTGCTTGGGGTGAAATGATGAGAAAATAATGTATTAAAGCTATATTTGTTTTCCAGCTTCACTTTTTGGGTGTCATATTCTCTCGGTCAACAACACAACAACAACAACAACAATAATAATAATAATAATAAAAATAATAATAATAATATCTTTGAAAACTTTGAGAAACTAAGTAAATACAAGGATCTAGAGACAGAAAGGCTTACGGCTATATCACGTTGAAACACCGGTTCTCATACGATCACCGAAGTTAAGCAACGTCGATCCTGGTCATTACCTAGATAGCTGACGTCTTGGGAATATCAGGGGACGTAAGCTTGGGTGTGCAGGTGATGTAATGGATAACGGCTCGGAATTGAAAATCGCAGAGCCCATTTCCAATTCCAATCGGGTTCATTATATTAACTTAAGCGCAAATACCCCTAGAAAAGCTATGAATCCGCCTCTTTTTCCGCCCCCCCCCCATTATGGGTTAATTAGTAGATTATTATTATCTGTAAAAATAACCTTACAATCTAAAAGTATTGTCTGTCTTTAAATAACCTGCAAAGGATCGATAAGCCGTAAAAAACAAATCAATTAATCGAAATAAATAGAAATCAGAATAATGTGGCATCTCAATGCAACAATATTACTTGTTGTCATTGAATGATATCAAAAGGAGCAAAGTAAATGTGGAATTAATCAACTTATAATGCGCTGAAGGGATATGTGGAGTATCTCTACAATGTCTCGTATCGTGTGACCCGGATTATTTTTAATCAACCTCTTCACCAACGACTGAAGGTCTGCCGGGAGGTTCCCGATCTTCCTGATTAAAGTCTCCACTTCTGAACCTAGCGAACCACTTATGAACGGTATTATCAGCTATGGCACCATCTCCATAAATGGTACATACAGTTTTGCTGTTTGTGCCACATTTTTTTTCTGTCCCAGAAATAAAAGAGCGTCAAATCACGAAATGCGTCTGATTTTTCTCCATTTTCACTTTTAACGTAAAAAGATTTAAAATGCACAATTCCTACGTGAACTATATAGAATTAAAATGTCAACCCTCAGAATATATATACAGTGTAACCCGGATATAAGAGACCCGGATATAAGAGAAACCCGGATATAAGAGAGATTTTCTCTGGTCCCAAATTAGAGCCCATGCTTACCTAAACAAAATAAACCAAACCCGGATATAAGAGAAACCCGGATATAAGAGACTTCTTCTCCGGTCCCGACAACTCTCTTATATCCGGGTTACACTGTATATATATATATAATAAATTTCAGTCACGTGTTAAACTAAGTCACGTGTTTGAACCTTACCTAAATTCTACAAACCTTTATTCCAACCAAGGGTTTTAGACTGTACTTGGTTTCAATCTTCCACTTTAGTGATGTTCTTTTGTGATTCATTCTTTGTTATTGTAGCGTCCTTCTAGAGGAGCCATTGCACTCCATTTTCTATCCACGCATGATTTCTTGCGCCTGATTCCGTTATCTCGTATCGACTTACCGATGTTTTTCATATCTAAGCTCAACATATTTTATCATACCTATGGGATTCTTACAGAGGTAATGTCTTTTTTCTCCCTTTATTACCTCGTTTTTTAGTTTTTGTCTTATCCTTTGATTTTGTTTATCTTTTTGTATCTTCTAGAATTTATCATCGTTAAATGAAGCGCCGAATATATGCGACTTCAGACCACAGACGTATTCGATGAAAGAGGTCTCCGAACACAGTCATTACGAATCCTGCTGGTTAGTCGTCAAGGACAAAGTCTATGATGTCACACAGTTCATGCACGAGGTAAGAACAATACACATCACTCCTAGTTACACACAAGTCTATATTATCGATACGATGAAAACTCGTGTACCAATCAGTGGCTAAAAGAGGTTTGAAGGCAAATTTTGGAAGAGATTAGACCTTTGACGTTACCAATATTTAGACTCGCACACACACATATACACTCCCCCCACACACATACACACACGCGTACGTAGACACACACACATTTTTTTTAAATCGAGTTCACCCCATGCAAGTCTGTAAAGCCATTAAGACACTGGATGTGGAAGAATTAGAAACAGAAACATTACTTATGAGCGGGAAGAGAAAAGAGTAATCAGGAAGACAGTAGATAACGAATGACATTGCATTTACATTTTTAAATATCAAAGTTGGCTGGAGAGCATGAACCCGGATGGGAGTTCCACAAGCGAAAAGTGCGAGAAAAAACTCTTAGCATAGAAGTTACGGTTATATCTAACCAACTCAGTTGTAAATATATTGTTGCCAGTCTAGTGCTGTGCTTAAATTCAGTCTAGACTCCGAACAAATACCATGAAAGTATTTATAGAAAAGGCACAGGGAAGCAACTTTACAGCGTTGGGGAAGTGACTGAAGCCGAGACGCCAGATCAGTACCAATAATATTGCTGATTCTTCTTTGTATTTTATCAAGAAGCGCTAGATATAGAACAGGAGCACCGGAGCATATGTGATGTGGGGCCAAAGTCGGAACCACAGAAGGAAAACACGGAACACGGATTAGATGTAAGAAAGATATATTAACAACAGGTTACAGAGATAGTGTAAGCGGAGCTTACTATATGTTAGTGTCCAATACTGGTAGTCGTACGCGGCTCTCTCTGTCTCTCTGTCTCTCTGACTAGAGTGTTGTGTCGCATACTTAATATAGACCTGGAAGAGTCTATTGTGTAGGTAGTTCCGGTCTCACAATAATATGTGACAACAATATTCTAAGAATGGGTGAATGGTAGACGTAAGTTTACCTAGCTTCTGGACAGAAAAATCGTCTCGCACGATACAATGAGCCGACTTTCTTACGAACTGATCTAACAATGGATGGAAAGCAGAAAAAAGCCCTTCAGATGATTAATGGAGAACAGTTTAGTCTTGAAGGCATTAAAATTAACAAAGCATCTTTTGCCTCAGTTAACAGCAGACTAAATGTCGTTTTGGACAATGGCTGCCATTTTGACTTTATCGAAGTGATCAGACTTACTATCGGGAGAGCATAGATACTAATTTGAGAGTTGATGCCATCGGTAAGGTCATTAAAGAAAATTAAAAACAAAGTAGGGCCAATGATGGAGCCCTGAATGACACGTGTGTTAGTACGAAAGGATCTCGACGAGTGGCCGTTTAGGATAACTTTCATTTCACGAATAAATAGGAAAGACTAGATCAGATCAAAAATTTGTCCGGAGACACCATAACTTTTCAGCTGTGGAAAGACCTGTATGCCAAAACCTGTCGAAAGCGTTAGATATGTCCAAAGCTTCAGCCCGGGCTTCACCCTTTTTATCTAGAGCATGATAGACTCTTTCCGCAATTATTGTCAGTACATCAGCGGTAGGCCTGGAGAAACGAAAGCCATATTACTCGTCTGAAAAAAAGGCCTTCTGATATGAGATGCTTAACCAATTCAGCATTAATTAGGGTCTCTAGTTTCCCCAAAAGAGGTAGAAGGCTAATAGGTCAATAGTTGGAAGGGTCAAACGGTTCACTCGTGTTCTGCAAAAGTGGAACAAAGATGTTGACTTCCAGCAAGCAGAAAAGCGAGTCATTTATTATAGAGTTTAGAGTGAACAAGACCCAGTTTGGGAGCACACTTCTTAATGACTATTACAGGGATACCATCGGACCCAGAGGCTTTGTGGGGGTCTAAGTTAGGGATGATAACAGAAAACATAGAAGAGGCCACATGCATATCACGCAACAGAGCCTCAGTTCTGAGTGGGAAGTTAGGCAGGGATACATCAGATTAGTCAAGAGTAGAGTTTAAGGAAAAATTTACGGGCGAGGCATTCAGCTTTATCATCCAAAGATATCTTTGGATGATAAATCTGAATGCTTCGCCTGTAAATTTCTCCTTAAAATCTAATACCATAAATTGATTGAAAAGGGGAGGAATATAGACCTTTGTTATACCAGAACGTACCTAGTGCTATTGTAAATAGACTCTCCCACAGATAAATATTAGTAGTAGTAGCAGTCGCCAGTGGAGCGGAGCGAGTTGCGTGAGTCAGTCGATGTCGGACATTAAAGTATGAGCCCCACAACTAGATTGCTGCGTCATTAACTATTATTTCAAGTTCCTAACGTTTTGTACGTCGAACCTAATTTAGGACCGACTTAGTGAAATACAAGCTTCCACTGTGAAAATTACTCTACAACATATTTAGCGACGAGGGATTCGTTTCTCATACGGAAAAAAAAATTTAAAGAAAAAAAAAATTCGTTTCGCCATATACAACAACCTTACACTTATTTAATCACTATTACAGAGCCGCCAGTAATCACGAGAGCCAAGGTTTTTTAGATGCAGTGCGGTTCTTCATTCTATCAGCAAACACAGACTTAGCCTCTTTGAGGGCCCGTTTACATTTATTACGAGCAGCATCGAATAATCGGCTGCTGTAACGGAATTTATCATGCTGAAAATAGTGGTTGCTATGGGTTGTAGTGGCCGAGCATGCTGGTGTGAACTATGAAGGAGATTGATATTTCCGAGAAGGAATGAAAGCATCTATGTCGGCTTTTTTCACCCAAGAAGAAAACCTCAGTGGCGCAACTCTCAAGTTGAAGTTTAAAGATATTAGTCCAAGGGGCGTCCCGAAGAAAATCACGGAGTGAATACCAATCAGCATGCTGGTAACCGAAATAGGTCTTATGAATAGGAACTTCCTGTTTAATAGATGATTGGCGCGAAATATCAATAGATACTACAGTTTCTAATAGGACAGTGTTGAGAAACTCGGGAAAAGTGAGAAGAGGAGCTAAGAAATCAATCAAGTAGAGAAGCCTGTTGTTCGATTTTGCCAAGGAAACAAGTAGGGAAATTCACGATTTTAGTAAGGGATTGAACGATGGAAAGATGGAGTGGTTTACCGTATCTTTCTTCAGTATTCTTTTTTAAAGTTGTCTATTTCGACTACATGTTAACCAAATCCGGAGGGGGGCGAATCTGCCTTGTTCCAAGGTTATCAGTGAAAATTTAGTTGTTAACTGGGGCAAGAAATGGCTTGTTAATTTTAACGCCTCCAAAACAAAACTGCTCTCTTTTAATCATCTGAGAGATCACTTTCTGCCTTCCATAAGCATGGCTGATGCTCACCATCAAGCGTGTGAGTCCTTGAGACATATCCGGTTAAAGTTTTCTGTTGACATGAAGTAGAAAGATTATATTCAATCAAGATTGCTGTTCGGAAAGTTGGGGCAGTGTTTTGCTAGATAGACATTTTTTCTCACCACCAGAATCTATATTACAAAAGTCTATTATTCGTTCGTGCATTG